AATATAAATAAACAGTAAACCAGGAAGTAAAACATAAATGAACATAAAACTGGGAAATAAACAGAAGTACCACAACCACAGGAGAGGAGTATTATGTTCTAGTAGGGCAAGCTCAGCAACTATGCAACCAGCACCCATTCATTTGTACAAAGAATGAAAACAAAACAAGAGTTGCCAGCAAACTATGAGCAAGCTGAAGCGTAACTTGTCTGTAATGTGTATGTGGGAGTTGTCCTTCAAAGTCACATGAGAGGCAAGGAACCAAAAGTCTGCACACAAATAAGCCACATCTGTAAAACAGCTGTGCATGCAACACTCACTCAAATCATGGAACAGACTATAATAAAGTCTAGAAGTGGACAAAATTTCTGCCTGAGTTTACAGCCCGTTAATGTAAAGAACATGAAGTTGTATATGGAGAAGAACAATGACGTTCTCTTGAGGGCTGATCACCTTAACATGGCTGCTGCGGACTCGGACTGGACTGAGGAGGCACTACCAGTGGACAAGGCAGCGACGATGAAGAGACAACCCTGAAGATGTGCAATGTCCTGCCAAACTAAAGTGGGAAGGCTAACTCAGGCAACAAATGCCTGAAGAATTCCTGTCAGCTGAAAGACTGCAAATATCACAGCCATGCTGTAAAAGAATGCAAGGTAATTATGTTCTTGGTTGTACGCAGAAGAACAGTGACAGACAAGCTGATAGTGTAACTTGCATAATGAGGCAGCTGGCCAAGCTCTCATGGGGGAGGCCAAAGTTTGACTGTCTTTACTGCCTGATTGTACCCCTTTATAAGGTGGTAGGGAGGGGGGGGGGGGGGGGTTGAGTCTGAGGTTTCAGGGCCGCACGGCTAATGCAGTCGCGACAAATGTCAGGTTAGAGGTTTATTCCTGCCCTCCGACAGAAAAATCTATCACCTTACAGAGGAGTCAAACCTTCTTCTCAGAAATGAAATACCAGCATTCCTTAGCCTTTCCTCTATTAGGACATCATCATCAGGTGCTTATCTCTCCACATATTTCAGTCCTTGCTATTTGGAATCAGTTCCACTGATGATATTTCACCATGCCATCGCTTCAGGCTGCCAAGCACTGTCTCCCTTGGTCTGTCTCTATTACCGTTAATCTTTCTAGTCATCATAGTGTTCTCCAATGCTTGTCTTCTCATCACAAGACCACAGATTACTGCCAGTCCCTTTCATATAGTTGAACAGTTTTCTAATTTCATTAGCCCTTTCCAAGCAGTCGTCGTTTGTCACTCTCCATGGTATCCACGTCCTAGAAACCACATTTCTACAGCCTCCAAGTTCCTAATTTGTTCATTCACATGAAGGTAAACAGGATCTGAATTATCTGACAACTGTTTATGAATATGGTTAAAACCAAGAGATGTACAAGTAGAAGGTCCATTCTACTACTCTGGGGTTTGAACTCCCATCCTACTGTTGGTAGGCCAGGAACTTATCCTATACCATGTTTCACCGCTGTTCAATAATTTCACCTACCTCGTGTGTCCCACGCTCCTAGAACTATTGTTATGTTTGTGCCATCTAATTCATTCGTACTGAATTGTTCCGTATTACGGTTAATAATTTCATTTGTTATTTCTATCGTAAATCATCAGCTAACTGATTTCCTGTGTTCTTGTTTGTATTGTGGCTTTATGTATGTGCTGATGAAAGCTCTTTAGCCGCAACACCCACTTGTCGTTTGTGTTTGTAATAATGCATCATGCTACCCTATATCAGGGCTATTCAACTGGGGTCCATGGGTCAAATCTGGTACTTTTCCTTTACTTTTAGTGTTCAGTTTAGTTACATATTTCATAAATAACTAGCATCTGGAAACAAAGTTCCCTGTGTGGTTTCCCCCACTGTGGGGAAACACAAGAATAGAGTTACTGCCTTCCTAACAAGAATGTAATGGAAGTTAACTAAGTGGGGGCATCCTTCGAAGTTGGAGTACATCTGCCTGAGAGGCAAAGAACCAAAAATCTGCAAACAGGCTAGATCTGTAAAACAGATTTTCATGCAATTCAAGTTCTGGAACAAGACTAAAGCCCAGAAGTGGATGAAATACCAGATCTTTCCACCAGAATTTACAGCCGGTGAATACGAAAAAGAAGAGTTAGAATTTTTCACTTTTTGTGTGTTGAGTCACACATTTCATAAATAAATGACATTTGTAGAAAAGTCATTTTTTATATATTAACACATGTTTCTGGCAACAGTTTATTTAGGTAATGGCACATAATCTGGATGTTACAACATACTATCTGGCAACACTGTAAGAAAAGACACATTTATCTGGCAAAATTATTAGCAATGACAAGCTTATCTGGCAAAACTGAAATAACGACACACTTATCTGACAAAGACGAGTTTTTCTGGCTAAACTGAAATAACGACACACTTATCTGACAAGACAATCTGATTGGCAAAACTGAAATAACGACACACTTATCTGACAAAGACAAGCTTATCCAGCTAAACTGAAATAACCACACACTTATCTGACAAGACAAGCTTATTGGCAAAACTGAAAAAACCACACACTTATCTGACAACACAACGCTGTTTGCAAGCGATTGGGTTTAGGAAGTTTTTAATCATATAAGCTTGCGGCAATAAGGTGGCATTTCACACCATCTCCTAAATAGTGACTGCAACCACACATTAGTCTCTTCTGGTGCCCGATCACAGAAAATGCCTGATAAACTTAACACAAATGAAATTAACATAGTAAACTAGGAAGATACAAGATGTTTACTAAATGTTTAAAAACAAAATTGCATTCATTCCTGAATATCATGCGAGCAGATAAACACATAATGAAGAAATATCTCTTCATAACAAAATTTCAATTTAAAAAAAATTCCACTTTGCACTAGGGCCACACACACACACAAAATCTACTCTCTAATTAAAATGAAAAGTACTATGCCCAAGTATTGCAGAATTATATAAAGAAATTTTTTTTTCACATCACTATATAAAAATTAAAAAAAATAAAAACTTTATAAAATATACTAACAAAAAGACAGATAGACACAAGACATACCTGCAAGTTCAATCATGAGCTAGACACAAGACATACCTGCGAGTTCAAACCTGAGCTAGACACAAGACATACCTGCTAGTTCAAACCTGAGCTAGACACAAGACATACCTGCGAGTTCAACCTGAGCTAGACGCAAGATCTACCTGTGAGTTCAAATCCGAGCTAGACGCAAGAAATATCTGTGAGTTCAAACCCAAGCTAGACGAAAGATCTACTTGCGAGTTCAAACCAGAGCTAAACACAAAACATACCCGTGAGTTCAAACCCGAGCTAGACACAAGACATACCTGCGAGTTCAAACCTGAGCTAGACATAAGACATACCTGCGAGTTCAAACCTGAGCTAGATACAAGACATAGCTGTGAGTTCAAACCCGAGTTAAACACAAGACATACCTGCGAGTTCAAACTAGAGCTAGAAACGGGACATACCTGTGAGTTCAAACCTGAGCTAAACACAAAACATACCTGTGAGTTCAAACCCGAGCTAGACATAAGACATACCTGCGAGTTCAAACCTGAGCTACATAAGACAAACCTGTGAGTTCAAACCCGAGCTAGACACAAGAAATACCTGTGAGTTCAAACCCAAGCTAGACACAAGACCTACCTGTGAGTTCAAACCTGAGCTAGACGCAAGATCTACCTGCGAGTTCAAACCCAAGCGAGAAACAGGACATACCTGTGAGTTTAAACCCGAACTAGTAACTATAAGTGCTGCAGTTGTTTCTTCTTCTTCTGCTCCTTTCTCCTAATGGAGCAAAGGCCCTTAACCAAAGCACACCAAATCATTCTATACTTTGCTTCATGTCATCTTCATCTTTTTAAACTTTCTTTTCCCCTTTTCCATGTTTTTTTGTCTACCTTTTTTTCTTTGTCCCTGTTTGTTTCAGTATAAAGCTCTCCTAGTTATATTGTAAATTCTGTATTATTATTTACATTAAAGCCACAGAGAAATAACTTTCAATTTAGTAAATCCAACAAATTCTGTATTTCCCCAAATATAAGACACCAATCAAGAAGGTTACTGCCACAGATAAAAGGACATATATAAAGACAGTGATTCGTTGAGGAAATAAGTTTCCTGACAAAAAAGAATTGGCACGGTTACATTATTTGTATTCACTGCCTATATTTACCTTTTTATGCGGGATAGGACCGAGTGGTTGTAAACTTGAGAATTTACGGTTACTTGGCCAGTCACTGCAGACTGTGAGGGTTGAGGTTTCATTTTTGCCCCTGAGAGAAAAAATCCACCACCTCACCAAGGACTGGAACCTGTGTCTCCTGAACAAGAGCCCAGTGTTTCTAACCACTTAGCCAGCTGCTCCTCGGTAATAATTAGTGCCAAAGGTAAAATTGCCTGATAAAAGTGCACACGGTAAAAAAATGCTGGGGTTGTTGTGTGATGTCCTGTAATGGTTATGTTTCTAGCTTTTAACAAAAAAATTTGTATTCGGCTTCCTTAACCCTTTCATCCCGGTGACCTAACAACAACAAAAAACTTTGCTAAAGACCTGTATTACTGGAATTTCGGGTTTTACCCAAAAATATTCCTTTAAGAAAAAACAACTAATTTTCATAGGTCACATAAAAATATATCATAACAATTCTATTTTTGGACCCACTCCTTTTCCCCCCAAAAAATGCATATAATATAATATGAAAAGGGGATATTTACGGGGCCATGGCAGACAATAAAACTGCCAGGTGTAAGTGCTTCATGGGGGTAAGACGGTTACAATGCAGAGCAAAAAAATATATATTGCTTACTGTTCTCTCTCTTTATCTGTAAGTTTTAAACACGCTTTACTGTCCAAATTCATAATAACAAAGATTTTATTTGCAGTCAGAAATTTGTTTTGAGACCAATCAGTGACAGACAAGATAAAGCACTTAGAGAAGTTACAACAATTGCAAAACACTCAACCTCCTGGAATTACAATTCTTGTTTTTGCTTCTGACCGCCTTGGACAAACTTCACGTCAGTTTTTTGCTCGTTTCTGTAGCGGAAATCGTCCACGTTATTGGTCAGCGGGGCATTCTCTACAAAGTTGCGCATGGTGGTAAAATTTGGTGTCTGGTTATACCTGGCCAGAAATTTGCCCCCAACAAACAGTTTGAAGGTTGGGTAATCTTTTACATGCTCCAGTGCACACAGTTCTGCAGGAGAGAAACAGAGTTTACATTGTGAAAGCTGTCACTCTTCCATGAGACATGATTTAGCAGGGACAAATACAGTGGTAGTTTCCCCTGGCATTCCACCATTTTGTGTATGGTTTGACCACAACAGCCTTTGTCTAAAGAGATTTACCCTGCAAGACAGCGTACAGGGGGAGCTAATGCATGACACCCACATGTCCATGTCAGAGAGTTTTGAGGTATTTTACAGATGTAGCTGTCCCAGCAGCAAGTCACCTCCTCTCAATGACCATGGTCTGTTTGGATCCACGGCCGCCACTTATTCCATATATAATAGCATGTAACCTCTATATCTATAGGCCGCTTCACCAAATTCCAGAAAGGGCTGGCAACACTCGAGGTGACGCTGGTGCACACACTTCTGAGATGGCACCACACTACCACTTCTATCAGGGAGAGGGGGTGGGCATGAACATTTGGAGGGTGGAAGATGAGAGCAAGTCCTTTGGTGTCTTTACTTGACAAAACAGACTTAGCAACTGGTAAACTATTATTATTCCATAAGTTAGTAGAGGGGCTGCAGGAGAGGGACAAAGTTAGAAATTTGTGTTTTGCGAGTGAAATATTTCAGGAACATGTGATGATATAACACTCTAATAAAAACTGTACTTAGAGACAATGTGGAAGTAGGACAAGCAAGAGGCAGGCAACAGTACAAACAGGAGGATAATATAAAAAAAATGGATGAAAGAAAGTCTCAGCGAGTGAATCATCATCATCATCATCAATTTCCACTTCTGCGATTAAGCACTGTGGGAAGGAACAATCTGCGATCCACTGCTTGATGGGCCGCAATAGCTACTGTCCATCCATGTTGATATAGAAGCTCTTTAACCTCATTAATCCATGTTCTCCTAGGGCGGCCTCTTGCTTTCACTTCAGATCTTTTCATCTGTAGTGCCTGCATTAGTAGCAGCTCAAGCTACATTCTTACTGTTGACCAAACCATTTGATCTTCGGTTTCTCAATGAATTTCCTGCATGGTGTTGTTCCTAAAGAGAGTGAATATGCAGAGCAAAACACAGAATGTAGTACTGGAGCCAACTTTAATTGTGGAGATGGCACCGGATTGACTGAATGATTGAGGACATCTTCAGAAGAAACAGGTAAGGAAAGAAGTAAATGACCGAAACACATCATGTGATGGTACATCCCTCTCAGGACTCGTTCTGCTTGAGGCCTGTCCAAAGTTAAAATTAAGAGGATCGACTTCAGAGCACCAGGTTGGATCCCACATGGCTCAGTCTCCTTACAGAATGGCTAGCCACCCGCTGAGAATTCCACTCAAAGCACAAACTCAGTAGCTCCAGCAATATCCCCAGGGGTCTCTATCAACACTGCTCCCGGAACCTTTTTGAGGTTATTCCGGGCACAGGTTCTCTTTGAGGTCATCCCCGGCACAGGTTCTCTTTGAGGTCATCCTAGACAGATTGTCAACCGGGAGCTGGCCAACATAGACAGGATCGATGTGCACCTGCATGTCAGGCAAAGAACCAAAAGTCTGCACACAAAATTTAAGCCAGATCTGTCAAACAAATGTGCATGCAACACTCAAGCCCTGGAATAAGATCAAAATCAAGAAGTTGATAGAAAACCAGGACTTTGAACTGACATTTACAGTTGTTGCAGGCAAAATGAATTTAAAAAAAAAAAAAAAAAGAAGACAGACAGACAAATCAGCAAACTTTCTACTCACGTTCTTCCTGTGAACAATCCACAGTAGCAAAGACTCGGTTTTTGGCCTCCGCAGTTTTGGCTGCCTTTAGGAAGTGTGGCTTGGCCGACTGACAATAGATGCACTCCGGATCATAGAACATCACTAGGGCTACAGAATCCTTTTTGCCTGTTTAAAAAAAATGAAAAAAACAATCATCTTCCCTTCCTCGTCCAAATGTCTGACCCCTTTCTTGTGTTACTACACATCAGCTGCTTAAGTCAGGGTCAGTGGCTTAGGCGTTTCGAACGTGCTTCTTAATTTTGAGGTGCTGGGTTTGATCCCAACTGCAGGCGACTTGGCAGTGCGGACCACCTTGCATTGGTTTCAACAGTGGAGCTGACCGTTCATAGAGAGCAATGGCAAACTAATAAACATAAAACTGCCTAGCGAAAGGACAAACAGCTGAGTAATGCTGGTGCTGCAACATCCTGCAAAGGATATGCAACTAACTTTTTTTTCCTCTAAAGGATGTTGCACACAAACCCAGTATTTGTTGTCTGCTTGTGGTTTTACTAGGACATTTTATGTTTAGTAGTTTGCCATTGCTTTTAATGCTCATATCGTTGTTGAAACAACACAAATTTATAAATTGGAAGATCTACTCGCAAATATGTATTTTTAGCATGTGTAATACAAGGACACCCACCCCCACGCTCACACACACATGTGCGTGTACTAACACACTCGATCCTTGCCTGTGCTACAGACTGAGGTCATTGTGCTGCCCCCCCCCACTTCTTCTCCTTGGTGTGATCTCAGAGGGATCTGGAGCAACAAATGAGAAATCTGTGTTTCAATTCAAGCTCTTGTACTTTTCATTTTTCAGGAATTCCCAGGGACACAGGAAGGGAAAAGAAAATGGTGAAGACCAAGAGAGATCCTGTGTAGAACCTTCATCAGGAAAGGTTTAATGATAGGCCTAATGAACATCCAAGACCTAACACTGGTGGCAATGAACCACCAGACAATGAGAGCTATGACCCCTGCCCTATGCACCACCCTAGGCTCAAGAGGAAAGACTTACTAACTAACTAACCAGCTAATGAATGTTTGTAGTTTATTAGTAACTGCCTTAGTTGATTTCCATGTTACTGCTCCATACAGCAGTACTGATTTAACATCAGAAAACAAAATGGTAAGTTTAGTTTTAGTTTTAATTTCTTTTGACCTCCACAAATTGCCTAATGCTTTGAAAGCTCCTCTTGCCTTTTGTGTTCGTATTTTAATATCTCTGTCAGTTCCCAGTAAAGATAAAGAGGGAGATGTAATGGCTGCAATCACCTCTTACACTTTCCATTGCCAAAGAAAATTATGCTACTATTTATTATTACTATTTACTAAGACAAAAGGCAGAAGGTTGAAAAAGAGGGAAGTAGTGGATGGGTCAAGCCGAGGACATTATTTTACAAGTATGTTCACTTGAAGACAAAGAACCTGGTGAGGAGTGGGTGCAAGTTCCTTCAAAGTGTTGTACATCCTTTTCTGTTTGCATCCAGCTAGACAGAAAAAGCAAACAACCGAGTCCGGCTGCTGTGGTAGCAGAAATTCTAGCCTTGATTTTCGAGAATGCTCTAGAGGGTGATGCTGTCATTTACACAGATGGTTCTGTAATTTGCCACGTTAGAAGCTCATGGGCTTTCACTGCTCAGTTTGGAGGGAGAGTTGTGAAGGAAGATTCTGGAGCTTTTTGCCGTAACTACAAGTAGTCTGACTATGGAGGTCATGGCTGTGACTTAAACAGAAACATGGCTAGAGGCATGCTTTCTCAGTGACTAGATGAGTATGCTCAGGAAGATAGAGAAGGGCAGGGTCTGAAGGCAGTGGTTGGTGGCTCTACAGCGTTCACAACTGACACGGATTAGTTTCATTTTCGTGCCAGGACATGTGGGGGTACAAGGAAATGAGCAAGCTGATAGACTTGCAGGTAATGCTACTGTGAAAGCCGGACAAGCCATGGACCAGGCTGATACACTGTATGCTCCAGAGTTAAGACATTTGCGTGAACCAACTGAGAACTGAATCTGCAACCATGGTCGGACTGCAAAAACAGCAAGTTAAACAGGGTGACACTAAACAAGAACACTACATGGGTAGCCAAAGAAGAATGATAAACCAACACAAAACTGGTGTCGTCAACCACTATATGCTTCGGGATTTACTGCGGAGGGGATCCAAGCACTTATGGACTGAGTGATTCAACATGCAGTGAGGATAATCTGTCGACTAACTAACTGTTGACTAATTATTACAAATATGCCACTCAGTGGGCGCCTGGAACATGGTGAAAAGAATGCTCGCCTCATGCTTACGACATGCTTGCAGAAACAAACATGAGAACGATACCAGTAATGGTAGAATTACAATCCTAGCTACACAGGCACACTCTCAGCAGTGAAGCGACAAGGGGGAAAATATCATATGATACCCAATCTGGTGTAGTTTCTACCAGCTAACGCTTACTCATGCGAATTGATCATGCCTTGCCACCGGTTCCATGTGGTAAATGGAGGAAAGGAAGAAGTGAAACAAGCCCAACATTTGCTGACTGTTTGTTGTTTTACAAAGACATTTTACATTTAGTAGGGTCAACTATGTACACTCACCTAAAATCTGGGAGAAGTTGGCACTGGACAGTGGTTTAATAGAGCGTGAGTCCAGAAACGGGATTACGCCAGAGTCGTTTTGTTTAGCTGAGAACCTGGATGCCATCTCGTCTGCTTCGTCACCATACAAAGCTCTGCCATAAGACAAATAACATACTATGAATTTTAAAAAATAAAAAAAAAAGATTCATACTTACTAGCACAGGATGCAGGTTACACTTGAGTGGTACAGCTGTTACGGATGACCCGATTTTTTTTTTGGGGGGGGGGGAGGTACCCTGCTCCCAGTATGTTATAAGGGGTGTCTAATTAGGGCTTTGCTGATATCTGAAGCACTGACCTGAAAGGGGCAGATATCACAGCCCAGCTGCAAACCACAATGTGCCAACCACCCTTTCAAGGGTGAATGAAGAATGTTGATTTAAGAATCGACATCACAGCACTCGGGACACTCCCATAAATGCTGCATCCCTATCTTCAGCAGCAAGCAAAAAGTTCAAATTCTGATGGTAGCAGAACCTGTTTGATTGAACATCCGTGTCACCTTTCCCTTGAGTGCTGAGCATTGGCCAGACCCCCTGGTCAGTCTTCGCAGCACCAATCCGCCAGACCCCCTGGTCAGTCTTCGCAGCACCAATCCGCCAGACCCCCTGGTCAGTCTTCGCAGCACCAATCCGCCAGACCCCCTGGTCAGTCTTCGCAGCACCAATCCGCCAGACCCCCTGGTCAGTCTTTGCAGCACCAATCTCCTTAGACCGTAACGATCTATCTTTGCCTTCACACTGTTTATTTGCTTCCAAAGAGCCCTTTAAAAACATCTAGCTTAGCATACATCAATTCACCACCAAGTGGTGCAGAACCAGCCGATGAATGAAGAAGAAGTGGACAAAGTAGTTGAGCCATTTGCCTAGCAATGTGAAGGTCATGGTTCATTCAGGGATAGGGACAGCCTCCTTCTATTGAATGGGGCTACAGGGGTTGTCACGGCAACGTGGTCAAGTTGTTTGCCGCATGATCTGAAGGTCATGGGTTAATTTAACGGCTGCGTCATTCAGTTAACGCCACACATTTTGATGGAGACCCCCAGGGATCATCACCAGAGTTACAGGGTTCGTACTTTGTGCGACACTCTCGGCAGATGGCTAACCATTCTGCAGAGACAGACCTAGCAATATGTGATAAAACCAGGTGCAATGATGTCGATCCTCTCAACTTTGACCTTCAACTTTCTATTCAATAGTGCTACTGTTTTCACAAATGCCAGGATGTCACATATGGAGCTATGGGGATCATTCTTTTGCAAGACATTCTCGGCAAGCATCAAAAACACTGGAACATATCCTTGAAAACTACAAGCTTCATGAGAACTGCAGACAAACTCAGTCTTCTTCTTCATGTTCACCGGCTGTAAACTCTGGCGGAAATTTATGGTTGTTCATCCACTTCTGGACTCTAGTCCTGTTCCAGAAACAGAGTTTTGCATGCACATCCATTTTACAGGTCTGACTCATTTGCATGCAGACTGTTATTACTTTGCCTCTCAAATGTACTACAACTTCAAAGGAAGCTCCCAATTAATCAACTTTTACTTTCTTCGAAGTCAGAGTGCATCTGCCTGAGAGGCAAGGAACCAACAGTCTGCACACAAATGAGTCAGATCTGTCAAACGGAGAATCAACTCTTACAACATGCTTTTGGGCAGGCATTGGGTCTATTCTTGTTTTCCCCCACAATTGGCCCCGGAACCCACACAGGGAACAAACTCAGTGAATCAACGTTAAACTCTAAGCTGTATGGAGCTAGGGGAAACTCCTGGATCCATCTGGACAACTCACCTGCGGATTCATCTGGACAACTCACCTGCGGATCCATCTGGACAACTCACCTGCGGATTCATCTGGACAACTTACCTGCGGATTCATCTGGACAACTTACCTGCGGATCCATCTGGACAACTCACCTGCGGATTCATCTGGACAACTCACCTGCGGATTCATCTGGACAACTCACCTGCGGATCCATCTGGACAACTCACCTGCGGATTCATCTGGACAACTCACCTGCTCATGTAATCATCACAGACAGCAATCATTAGAATATCCCTTTAAATAAAAAGGACATCTTCTTAGCGATAAATGGCGGTTAACTCCAGTGAAAAGTTCTCTCTGAATTTTGGTCTTATTCTAGAACTTTGCATGCACATCTATTTTACAAATCTGGTTTATTTATATGCAGACTGTTTGTTACTCACTTCTCAGGCAGATGCATTCCGACTTTGAAGGAAGCTCCCAATTAGTCGACTCTTGCAACATGCTGGCATTTTTGGGTAGGCAGTGGGTCTATTCTTGTTTTTCCCTGACAATGGGGCCCTTGATCCTACACGAGGAAAGCTAACAAAGATGTCATTCACTTACCTGTACATAAACCCAACCAGCTCGTCCTTGGACCTGCCACCTGCGTACTCTGTTACCTGATCTCCTCTAAACAAAGGGGGACAAAAGAAGAAGGCAAATACATTTTCTCTGCTGTCAAATAAAAAAAAAATTTAAGAAACAAACACACATCAAAAATCAGTGTCACAATTCAGATTCCCTTATCTTCTCCTTCTTCTTCGCATTCACGGCTGTAAATTCCCATGGAAGGTTCTGGTTGTTTGTCCACTTCTGGACTCTAAAATCCTGTTTCAGAAACATTTGTTTCACAAATCTTTCTCGTCTGCATGCAGGCTGTTGGTTCCTTGCATCTCGGGCAAATTTACTGACTTCGAAGGAAGCTCCCAGTTAAACTCTTACCGCATGCTTTTGGGTATGCAGTAGGTCTATTTGTGTTTTTGCCCAAATTGGGGCCCCGGAACCCACATGGAGAGGATTCCATCATGGCCCTGGTTAACATCAGGCACTATTATCATCTACCTTGTAAAAAGCCCATTTCCACACCTTGCAAAAACAAACTGTCATCTAGGTAACATCCACAGTCTTGCTTGCATCAATAAAAATGGCAGCTTTGCACTGATTAATCTAAATAAACAAAAGTAAATAAATGTTAAATCAGTTGTGGTTCCCCCCCCCCCCCCCCCCCCCCCCCCCCCCCCCCCCCCCCCCCCCCCCCCCCCCCCCCACCTTTTCCACCCGCCCAGTTAACAAGTAGTTATATTATTTTATTATTATTATTATTATAGTTCCTGCTGTACAGTAAGTTTCATTATGAAATTAGAATTAATCTTTAAAATTCATATGAGTCTATAAACTTCCTATGGAATTGTCTTTAAAATTCCCACCTCCATTTTAAATGTCTCAGAAACACGAATAGATAAAGAGATCATGAGTGTTATGTTGTGAATTCCCGGGGAAATCCCAGAGAGTTCCTGATTGGGGGGGGACAAGGTCAGAGGACCAGTGAAACAAGAGGAAAACGAGATAAGCAGGTCTCGAGTATCCCGTGGTGAGTGAATGAGGGATACTAAGAAAGCGTGAGACTGGAACAGAAGAGGTGAACCCAGAGAGGGTAGAAAGGCAGTTGAAGTTCGGACCTGGATGTGTGCGGTCGTGTGCAAGAGAACAGCTGAGGAGAATGGAGAACGTATTACCATGTGTACTTGTTCGAGAGCAGAAATGAATGTTTCCTGATTACTAGTTTCATCATGTACAAATACCAGGTACAATACAGTAGTATGATACAGATGTATGATCCGAAAGATATGAGCGGAGAGAATCACCGTGTGAGATAGTTAGCAAGGTCATCAGGAATCAGTCATGCATAGCGACCACGAGAAGGCAAGGAGCGCATAGTCAATGAGATTGTTGTAACAGCGAATAAAGATCAATAACTGAACGTTCGTCGTCTGGTGTGTTCTAGGAACTGTGAGTACGTCAATATAGCAAAGTGAAGAGTTGAATCCAACCCCTAGCAGAGCACATTGCAATGAGCAATGTACGAAGAAGATCAATGTTCATTCCATAGAAAAGAAAAAACGAATATCAAGATAACAAGATATAAAGACAGTGTCCAGAAATTGTTTTAAAATCTCACTGATGTTTAAGTACCCTGATAAGAGCAGACAGACGATGTACTAAAGAGGTTAAATGTAGATAAGTCCAAGCAAAAGCAGCAGTTTCGACTAATTAAGACTTTACAGAGTGCATCTGTCAGAGAGGTGAGAAACCAACAATCTATAGATAAGACAAAGTCTGTAAAACAGTTGCGCGCGCAAAACTCAAGTTCCGAAATAAAACCAAACATCGGAAGTGGACGAATAACCAGAACTTTCTGCTGGAGTTTACAACAGGTAAAGGGAAAAAGAATAAAAAATGTCACCGTTAGAGAGAAAGTTGAAATAAGGCCGTGTCGGAATTATACTTGACAGACAAAGAATACAGTGGTTCAGCCATCTAGTGAGAATTCAAGCAGACTAAATTGCATATTACAATATTTTTTTTAAACAACAGAACATCTGGGAGGAAGGTGACGAGAAGACCAAGAAAGAGATGGATAAACGATGTAGATGAAATTAAACAAATCAAGCCACCCGAGAAGCACAAGACAAATAAATATAGAAAGCTACAATCAGGTATCAGCAAGATGACAAAAGAAGAAGTGGAAGAAAGGCCGGAGGGAATGAATCCCGCTTGTCCACACAGTGAACACAATAACAACAACCTTCTGTTTCCTGCTCTGTGAGCCGTTTATGATTATGAGGGTCTTCCTATCGCCTGGTCTACTCCTTCTACTCAGCATGTCCAGCAGATTGGGTGGAGTGGCCGGTTCTTTTCTGTTAAGCGACCACATCACGTGTGATTTAGGGAAATCCCACATTATAGGAAGGTTGGGATTTTTAAAATGTCCCTTTTCCACGCCTTTAGGCGTGTTGGGCACATAGGGCTGGACTCATATTTGTATAGATCATTTGGCACTTGGTTTGTGATGCGGTCAGCATCACCCCGGCTGCCTTTACTTCCCAGAACTGCATCTGGTACCCACTCAAGATTTGGTCGATCTGGGAGTCAAGATCTTTTTTTTTTTAATTCAAACTCTGTCAGGACGCGAACCCACGACCTTCTGATCCGTAGACAGGCGTCTAGCCGCCAACGCCATGGCGACTCCTAGGGTTAGGATTAGTGTTGCTAAATAAATGGCGACTACTACTAAGCCTAACATATATTATGAATCCTATAATCCTAAATCCTATAATGTGGGATTTCCATAATGTCACGTGATCTGGTCGCTTAACAGATGAACCGAATGGCCTCTAGATACAGAGGTTATACGCGAATATAGTGATTAAGCGCGAATATAGTGATTAAGCAGATGTGGACCAACACAGGTGGCTGTCGTTAAGAGAAGCAAGTTCAGATATGGGAAAGCAAGCTCTATAAAATACCTCAAAACTTCGTGAAATGGCCGTCAGCGGGTAAAATGCGCCATTATACAACACCCCCCCCCCCCGCCCGCCCCCCCCCCCCCCCCGCCCCCCCCCCCCGCCCTTGTTTTAGACGGCAGTTCTTGATACTGAAGTCATACCACACACAAACCGGCGGAACTTGCATTGTTCACCATAAACGTTAGTTGCTTATCCTTCAGAGGTTTCTGAGCCACCCAGTGAATTCTGGGCGGTTTGTGATTATACTAGGCAATTGTGCACCCAGTAGTTTGCCAATGCACTCCTATCGGTTAGCGTTCCATAACGCGGTCGAAATCGCCAACTGCAGAAATCGAGCCGGGTATTTCGGAATTACGAAGCGGCTTCGCAACGCCCAAGTAGTAGTGATTTAAACCCCTCCAGCACCTTGCAACGAGCGACCAACAAACGTTGACACAAAGTGCCACCATTTGGATGCGGATCGCCCGGGAACAAGGGCCAGAAACCCCGTTCAACCGTTCGGTTATTTAGGGCCCCTGACTAAAGCCGGTGTGGGGCCTTAAAGTAGGAAAAATTGCGTCCCAAATTGGGACCGCCAAGTGTAAGCAAGCTACCGCCGCCGATTTTATAATCAGAAGAGGTGTCTTGGGGTGGCTGCTGCATCGGAGGACTGAACACGCATGTGAATTCCCAGTGTGCAACGAAGCAAACTACGGTAGCATTACCGGCACCGATCCATCTACACCAAACGGACGGGTGGGACAAACAACAACAGAGGGCATACCTACAACACGTACAGCCAGGCAGGTCCTTGGTATTTTAAGTTTCCATGACAGCCACCATCCGCATTTTGTCGACGCTTCGTGACGTCAAACAGATAACTATGGCGATGCGGCCGCGGTTAAAATTGATATCAGGGGGACAGAAATTAATTCGGCTTCCCATCAATGAAAGAATGCCTTTAAACTACCAGGGTTAGAGCGGATAACGTGATGGAGTTGACAATGAAATGATCTGGACGATTCTGTCTGGTAATCAACGGTACACACTGATCGATGACGCCATACATCATATGAATGTAGTGATGACGACATATTTCTTTTTCTGTCGCCTGTGGTGGTTGGCACGTTGTGTTGTAGTTTAGAGCTAGGCTGTGATATTTTCGCCATTCGGCTGAACACATCCGATTTCAGCATACCAATGATTAGTCGACAAGTGAATGCTTTACCAATAATTAGTCAACTTTGTCGACAGTCCTATAAAAACATGGACGAAAAATTACATGTGAGATGAGATGTTTTAAGAAATGAGGCGGTAAACACAAGAAGAGACAATCACCAACTAAGAAACATGGTAGGCACAGTACTTGTTAATGATTTCATAGAACATCAAAGAATCAAACGATCTGGACATCTTGACAGAATGGGACAAGTCAGAATTTAGAACATACTACACGAGAATAGGCGTCGTTCGTGGCTTAGGCGTTGCGAGTCCGACTCGTAATTCCAACGTACCGCGATCGAAACCCACTGCTGGCTGTGTGGATTTTTTTTATGGTATGGGCCGTCGCAGGTCGGCCCAGTCTAAAAATGGGTACCAGGATGGCTGTCATGGGGAAGAAGAGACGGCCGGCGTAATGCTGACCACATAACTCACCTAGTGCCGATTCTTCTTCTTCTGCCTTTCTATCCCCCAATGGAGCATAGGCCCTCAACCAACTCGTTCTATCCTTCGCCACTACATACTGCCCTCACAATCTTTCTAACTTCATTCTTCAACTCTCTTTTCCATGTGTTTTTGGCTTTCCTTTATTCCTATGCCCCTGTGGGTTCAAATGCAAAGACATTCTAGTTATGCTGTTCTGTTTTCTCAGTGTGTGTCCTATCCAACGCCGGCGTCTTTTCTTCACCTATTGGTCCACTGGAGCCTGTTTAGTTCTCTCCCAAAGTTCTACATTAGTGATTCTATCATACCATTTAATTCCCTCTATTCTGCGCAGGCATCAGTTAATGAATGTCTGTAATTTATTAGTAATTGCCTTAGTTGTTCTCCATGTTTCCAGCCCA